GGGTGAGTGGAGGTCGGGAGGGGGGGTGATATGGGGGGGGGGGAAACTACTTGAGATAGATCCCGTCCACGCATCAATGCAAGGAGGGGGGGAACAGGGGGGGACTATCTGGTATCGACCCCGTCCACGCACCCTTGCAAAGAGTGGGGGAGGGGATATTCCGGACCGACCTCGTCCACGCATTGGAAAGAGCAGGGGAGGGGAAGAGATATGCGGGATCGATTCCGTCCACGCATTGATGCAAGGAATGTGGGGAGAGGAGGAAAGTCAGAAGGGGAGGGGAAACTATCTGGGATCGACCCCGTCCACGCACCGTTGCAAAGAGTGGGGAGAGTGGGGGTGGTGGGAGGCTTTCCTCCCGCGGGCGGGTCGCGAGGCCAGGCCACGCGACGTCTCTCTCTCTCTCTCTCTCTCTCCTCCCCCCCCCACCTTTGCATCCGCCTGCCGGAACGCGCGCAGCCCCGGGGCGGGGGGGAGGATGTGGGGGGGTGAGGGGGGAGGGGGGGGGGGGGGCGGGGGGGGGGGGGCGCGCGCGGGGGGGGGGGGGGGGGGGGGGGGCGCGGCTTTGGAAGCGCGGGCGGGGCGCTGGGAAATGCAGCGGCGGAGCAGCAGGTGGTGCTGCCGCTCAGCCGCAGGAGCGAGCGCGGGGGTCCGCAGCCGCCATTAGACAATAGGAGCAGCAGCAGCAGCAGCAGCAGCCGAGGAGAGGCGGGCGAGGCCCGGGAACTGCGCCGCTTGCCCTTCCCGTCCTTCCGGCCTTTGCAAAAGCCCCGCTCCAGGCCCGCAAAGCAGCCGCGTTCCGGGGCCTCCGCGCTTCCCATTCGCCCGCGGGCTCTTTGCAGAGGGAGAGAACGAGAGGGAGAGGAGAGAGCTCAGCCGCTGCTTCCCTGCCGGGGCTTCTCAGCGGCCCCCGGGGGGCAGCTCCGTCTCTGGGGCGGCGGCGGTGGGGGGAAGGGGAGCATCCCCGGCCCGGATTTAGACCCACAAAGGCCGCGTTGCAAAGTCGCCGCCTGCGCTTCCTCGGCCGCCTTTCGGCCGGTCGGTGGCGGCTTGCAAAAGCGGGTGCAGCAGCCGGCTGGCTGCCTCCGGCTCGGCTGCCCGATTGGCATGATGTTTCCGCAAAGCCGGCACTCGGTAAGAGGAGGATGGGGTGGGATTGGGGGTGGGGGGGCTGCATGGGGTGGGGGTGGGTTGCTTGCTCAGGGCCCGGGGAGGATCGTGTCGTGGGAATGCGGGATTGGTGGGGAGGGGGAGAGCGGTTGGGTGCAGGGGAGAAGGGGAGGGGAGGGCAGTCCAATGCCGCGGGCTGCGTGGAGGATCGGGGACCCTGGGGAGGAGGGGACATCTCGGGTGAAGTGGGGGGAAGGACACGGACCCCCGTGGAGGAGGAAAAAAACACGAGTCAAATGGAGGGGAGCAAAGAAAAAGGGAGGAGGGGAGGGCAGGGAAACATGGGCATCGGGGTGCCCAGAAGTCAGAGAGCCCCCCCTCGCACCCTGAATATCCAAGGGGGCTCCCTGACCTCTGGGCACCCCGATGCCCATGCTTCCCTGCCCCCCTCCTCCCTTTTTCTTTGCCACCCTCCCCCTCCACTTGACTCGTGTTTTCTCCTCCTCCATGGGGACTCGTGCCCCCCCCTTCACCCAAGATCTCCCCTCCCCAGGGTGGAGATTGCAAGGCGTGATTTCCCCCCACTCTCTACTTTTGCAAAGGAGCCTTTGATAGAAAGGGAGGGGAAAGGGGAAAAGGCAGGAGTGGGGTGGGGGTGGGGGGGCTCTGGGGAAGAGGGAAAGGAGAATTGGGGGAACCAGGTGCGGGAGGTGCAGCCAGAAGGGAGGCGGGTTTTTTTGGGGGGGAAGGGGGGTTCCTCTTGCGGGAGATATTCCACCCCTTCCCCCCTCTTCCCAAAGCAGCAAAAAAAATAAAAATAAATCTTAAGGGGGGAAGCCATGGAATTGGGGCATACAAGGAAGGGCGTGGACCTGGGGCTGGTGGGAGAGAGAGAGGGAGGGAGGGAGGGAGAAGAACCTTTGGGGAGTGGGATGGGCACCCCAGTGATGCCCACCCCCCCCAAGAGGGGGACACAGGCCTGGCTGGGCATCACCTGGATGGAAGGGGCTCAAGAAAAGTGCATTGAACCCCAACCAATGGTGACAGGGTGAGTGGCAAAGATGAGTGTGGGTTAAGAAGCTAGTCCTCATTGAGGAGGGGAGTGTGAACCCTTTCCTGTTGGTGGGGTGAGAGGGGGAGCCCCACGGAAAGTCCCATTAAGGGCCAGGAATGGGGTGGATGGGTAGGTCAGTTGGGTTCGAGAGTCGGAAAAGTGGAATTGGATTGGAAGAGATGGTGGGGATTTGCAAAATATGGGGGGAACTGGAGGGGGCTATAAATAAATAAACTCCCATTTCTCTCCCCCTCCCCCCATTACTTTGCACGCTGATATCTAATGGATTGAAATAGATGAAAGGAATGAAACCCGCCAGAAACAGGCCGCTTGCCCTCTGCTTGGTGAGAAATGAGTCTCTGCAGGGAGAAAAAAAAAAGCTGATTTTTATAGGATGTAAAAGAATAGAATGAAATTGTGGTGAGGGAGGGAGGGAGAAAGGAAGGTCGCCGGATTTCCGATTACAGGAAAGCAGGTTTAATTTTGCTTTTCAAAAGGAGAAGGCCCAGACTGAAAACAACAGGGAAGTGACTCTGCTTCGTCCCACCCACTCAAAAAATTTCCTTTCCAGAGCCCAGGTCAACAGACTTAAGATCTGCGTGTCCCCAGGTTGTGCTGTTGTAGTAAACCTGTTCAGGATTCCTTCACAACAAAAGTCACCAGATCCTAAAATAAAATCCGGCTGATGATTTTGTGTAGGAAGGAAGGAAGATAGATCTGGCTTGGATAACTGAAGAGTTTTCCAAAGGACAGGATTTTGTAGACCTTATTGAAGAACGCTCAAAAATAAAACTTTTCTGGCACCGAAGGAAAATGGAATGCATTCAATAAATTAAATTAATGTAGGTGTAGCATTCTTAGATGTCGTTTGGATTGGCGATGCCCACATCCAATTAAGCCATAATGAGCTTTTCGCTTCCAATAATCTGAACGCAACCGTTCGCGATTTGCACTCTTTGTGTTACGACTTAAGGTGGGTGATGTTTGGATAGTCCAAGGGTGACTAATTTAACAAATTTGTGTTAAAAACAAGCCAGGGATTTACCAGGAGGCCTGCAACAGTGAATGGGGGTAGGTGGAAAAAAACACAAGTAGTCCTCGATTTACAACAGATCTGAAACAGGAGCTGAAACAGTTTATGTCGAGGATGAGACGGGTCTGTAGATATTTTATCAGCCCTCTCTCTCTGGTTCGTGCAGTACAGGTAGTCCTCGACTTACAACTTTTCATTTAGTGACCGTTTGAAGTTACAACGGCACTGAAAAAAAGGGACTTAGGATCATTTTTCACATGACTCTTGCAGCATCCCCATGGTCATATAATTTACCTTTGGATACTTGGAAAATGGTTCGTATTTATTACGGTTGCAGCGTCCCGGGATCTCGTGATCCCCTTTTGCGACCTTCTGACAAGCAAAGCCAATGGGGGATGCCTGATTCACTTAACAGCGGGGTTACTAACTTAACAACTGCCGTGATTCACTTAACAAATGCGGCAAGGAAAGTCGTAAAACGGGACAAAACTCACTTGACAGATTTCTCACTCCGCAACATAAACGTTGGGCTCGATTGTGGTCGTAAGTCGAGGACTACCTATAATCCTGGTGGTCACCACCCAAAATAACCAATGCCTCCCAAAACCACTAATCATTGCATTTGCTAAAGGCAGATAGAATAGCTGGATTGCTGAAATCTGATGCTTCCTCTAAAACATCTGTTTGCAGCTGTCCAGATATAAAACATATATCCAGGTGGACCTGGATTATATCAAAACAAATCAAATTACAGTATAGTCCTCAATTTAAGACCACAATTGAACCCAAAATGTCTGTTGGTAAGCGTGGCCGTTGTTAAGTGAGCTTTGCCCCATTTTTCGACCTTTTTGCCACCATTGTTAAGTGAATCACTGCATTGTTAAGTGAATCCACTGCATTCTTAAGTGAATCCATTGCATTGTTAAGTGAATCACTGCCTTGTTAAGCGAATCATGTTGCCCTTAAGCAAATCTGGCTTTTCCCCTTTGACTTTGCTTGTCGAAAGCAGGCTGGGAACCCCGGACATGGCAACTGTCATAAATACGAATCATTGCCAAGCTCCCAAAATGGTCATAAGTGTGAAAAGTGCCATTGTAACTTTTGGTCACTAAACGAATGATTGTAAGTTGACTACTTTTAAAGGGTCTTTAAACCAAGGGTTTTCCAGTCTGAGCCATAGACAGGGGTGAGACTTCAGTTCCACTAATTCCCCACCCAGCGTGGCCAATGGTGGAGAATTATGGGAGTTGAAGTCCACCTGTCTGGAAGTTGGGAAATGTTTTCAAGATATTCAAGGCCTCAGACATCTCAAAAGGAATTTTCTGGGCCATGCGGTGAGCAATTTAAGTAGCCACTTTTGGATGGACAGCTGGCTGTATAATGTATTTAATAATAAATCAATAAAAGCCAAATCTTGGCCATCGGATCTGTACAGGTAGCCCTCAATTTATGACCACAATTGGGATTAAACTTCTGTCATTAAGCAGTGCAGACATGAAGTAAGTTGTGTCCTATTGTATGATCTTTTTCCACAGTTCTTTGGCAAATCTTTGTGGTCATTAAATGAATTGTGCAGTTATTAAATGAATCCAGCTTCCTCCATGGACTTCGCTCTCTGGGAGGGTTACAAATGATCCCCCAGTAATCTGAAACCAATGTAAACACATAACAGGTGCCAAGCCACTGGATTTTGATCCCATGACCTATTGGGACACAGCAGCGGAATCGTAATTGTGAGGACTGGTGATAAGCCATTGTTGTAACTTCAGACATTTGTTAAATAAATATTCACAAGGGGTGAACTATTCGTGCTGCCATCCAGAGTCCATTGGAGTTGGGAAAGAACAATAAATTTTAAAATAATCCAACCCACTTGAGGGCAGCAAATAGATCTTTCCGGATCTCTTTGCTGCCTTCTGGTGGCTACAGAGATTATTGCGGTCCGGATGGATACACAATAATGTAAATGGAGGGGGGGGGCAAATGTGGCCCTTTTACAACCTGTGGACTTCAAGTCCCAGAATTCCAAGCTGTCTCAGGAATTCTGGGAGTTGAAGTCCACAGGTTGTAAAAGGGCCACATTTGCCCACCCCTGATGTAAATGCATCGCTTTACACAACAGGTGAGGTGAGTTGTGTTTGAATGATTAGATGCAGTCCAACCTGCAGGTAGAAATTATCCCATTTTAGTGCTCCCACCGCCACATATAAAATTAATTCCTTAGAAGGAAAAGGCAGGTCCCAAAACGGCTTCATTTTATGAAATTGATGAAGAGGAAGAAAAAAATGGCCATGTTCAGAAGCTGAGTTTCTTTTTCTGAACTTGCCAACAACTCCTTCCCCCCCCCCCCCAACTCGGAAATGGTACATCCCATATTTACATGCAGAATACAGGTATTCTTCGACTTACAACATTTCACTTTGTGACTGAAGTTACGACGGCACTGAAAAAAAGTGACTCGGGGCCATTTTTCACACTTATGACCGTTGCAGCATCCCCATGGTCATATGACTTAAATTCAGATGCACTTGACAACTGACTCACGTTATGACAGTTGCAGTGTCCCGGGGTCACACGAACATCTCTTGGCGACCTTGTGACGAGCAAAGTCAACGGAGAAGACAGATTCACTTAACAACCGTTACTAACTCAACAAAACAGCAGTGGTTCACTTAAACAAATGTGGTAAGGAAAGCTGTAAAATGGGGCAAAGCTCATTAGATTTCTCACTTAGCAACATAAATTTTGGGCTCAATTGTGGTCGTATGTCGAGGGCTACCTGTAGGCCTGAGATCGGATCTATATTTTAGCCTGCATTTATTTGCTTGCTTGCTTGCTTTTCAGATAGCCGAAACATTTATTATGCGATTTATCTGTGTAACTCAAGGCAGCTCCCACCTCCTTTTTTCCCCATAACAACCCTGTGAGGTGGGTTGGACTGAGAAAGGTATTGGCCTAAAGTCCGCCAGCTCCTAACCTCTTGATTTTCTAGTTCAAAATCTCCCACTACTAGTCCAAACCAGTTCTCAAAATGTTGCTGTGTAAAATGTATTGAGGATTGATTGATTACGTGTTGGATTACATTGATTGTTACCTTGAGTAGTCTCGGTTAAGCTGAAACCAGGTGAAGCGCATCATAACTTAAGGTGTGTTGTAAACATGGTCTCAATACCCCCTAAATCACCATTTGCTTGACAGTGCAGTGGACGGTTTCTTCAGTGAGTCTTGAGGACTAGCATCCTGAGCAGGCAGTTAACAACATACCAAATCAAACACAATTAAAGCAGGTTCCCAGGGTCGTTTTTAATTGGCTAAAGGGATACTTGTCCCACTCCCTCACCCCCCCTCCCTAATTCTGTTTCAGGCCTCTTCTCATCTGCCTCAGCAGTTGAAGTTCACAACTTCCGATTCCTGCGACCGGATTAAAGATGAGTTCCAGTTGCTGCAGGCACAGTATCACAGGTAAATCAGCCAGTTTTCTCCAGCTTTCCACCCGCACATGATTTCTAGGCCAGGATGTGGGAGCTGGTGAAATCGAAAAGAAGGTTGGATCCCATGGGACTAACACTCGGCGTGATTGATCACCGAGGCATGTATTCGCACAATTTTTGCTTATGAGCAGTGTACAGTCTTGGTGCAGCGGTGTTAAAATGTCACCGGGAGATCCTATAGAATAGTGTTTCTCACCCTCAGCAACTTCAAGACTTCAATTCCCAGAATTCCCCGGCCAGCACATCCCTTAAGATGGGTGGACTTCAATTCCCAGAATTCCTCAGTCAGCAAGCTTATGGTTCGGTGCCTTAAATCAGGAAGTGGGAATTCTGGGAGTTGAAGTCCACAAGTTGCCAAGTGTGATAGTCCCCATTTGAAGTCAAACCTGCTTGCCAGCCTGTTCCAGATCATCCAGAGATTTTCTCAGAGATCCCAGTCTGATCTCCGGATCTGTCTCCCCCCTCTTTTGAGATCCCTTTTCTATTTATTTTGCAAAGGACTGCAGAACCCACCCAGATTATTTTTGCAATAATCTGAAACGCTGAAAATCTTCATTCCTGGATCCTTAAAAATTTTAAAAATCCGGCTGCAGTTGGAAATGGAGGCCTATTTTATCAACTGCATTCTGTTGTTGTTTTATTTTAAAAAAGCTAGAAGATAGTGTGAGATCTCAAGCTCAGAAACAGGTGCCCGAGTTTCAATCACCTGACTGGCAGATGCTACAATGGTCATAAGTGCGAGGACCCCATGGTCAGTCACTTTTTTTCCGTGCTTATTTTATCTTTGAACAGTCACTAAACAGAAGTCGGGCAATGTTTCCAACGGCAGAGGAGGCCGTCCCTCCCCCCTTTATCCCCCTCGTGCCCACCTCCCCAATTTCCCTCTCTCTTAACAGCCTGAAGTTGGAATGCGACAAGCTGGCCAGCGAAAAGTCGGAGATGCAGCGCCATTACGTGATGGTAAGTTTCGCACTCGCGATCGGCGGGGTCCTGCCAAGAAGAGCAGCGGAGTCCTGTGAGGCAAAGCTGCAAATGGTTCCTCCTTCCCCCGCCCCCCCCCAATACATAAAAGTTCAAACGCAGGTGATAGGAAGCTCAAGGCCAAATTCCCCGCCCCCAGGAATCAAATCCTCTGAACTAAAGACCCCCCTCCCCCCTTTTAAGGCAAAAAAAAAATACTGCCTTAAAAGTAGTTCTCAGTTGGATTCTGTAGAGATTCTCAGTCCTCCAGGTCATGATTGTCCCAAAGGTGTTTTTTTTTTCAAGAGGCAACTGAATTTTCTTGTTTTTTCTTTTGAAGACGTTTTGCTTCTCCTCCAAGAAGCTTCTTCGGCTCTGACCGGATGGTGGGGAATGGAAGGATTTATATTCCTTGCAGACAGCTGGACTTTTGCATCCTTTTTTAGAGAGTCGTTGAGGCTGCTTGGAGGTTGATCTGTGTCCTCAGGGTCACCTGAATGGTGCTCCTGGTTCCGGTAGTTTGCAATTTTTTTTTCTCTGGAAATCCATTCCTACTCCCACAGCATTCCAAAGGTGTTTATTTGAGTTGGATTCTGGTTCTGGGTTCTTGCCCTCTGTCCAAAAACCGAAGACCATTTTAATTTAAACTGCTTTTAAATTTTGTATGTATTGTTTTTTACTTTGGCAGTTCACCGCCCTGAGTCCTATTTTGGAGAAGGGCGGTATAGAAATTTAAATAATTAATTAATTAATTAATTAATTAATTAATAAATAAATAAATAAATAAATAAATAAATAAATAAATAATTTTATTTCTTTATTAAATGTATATGCTACCTGTCTCATCATTGAGGGGGGTTTAGAGGGGGCCGAAAGCCCTACTAAGCAGGTATATACAAAAGTATGAAGGCTATTGCTTAATGCATTGTAAGCCGCCCTGAGTCTCCGGAAAAGGGCGGCATATAAATAGAACTAATAAATAAATAAATAAATAAATTGAGCAATTCTGGGGGTTTGCTTTCCTTTCTTTCTTTCTTTCTTTCTTTCTTTCTTTCTATCTATCTATCTATCTATCTATCTATCTATCTATCTATCTACTTTTTCTTTCATTTTTTTACTTCATTTCCCTCTTTTTCTTTCTTTCTTTCTTTCTTTCCATCCTTCCTTCCTTCTTTCTCTCTTTCTTCCTTTCTATCTTTTTCTTTCATTTTCTTACTTCATTTCTTTCTCTTTTTCTTTCTTTCCATCCTTCCTTTCTCTCTTTTTTCTTTCTTTCCATCCTTCTTTCTCTCTTTCTTCTTTCTTTTTCTTCCTTTCCCATTTTTTTCCTTCCCCCCCTCCCTTCCTTTCTTTTGAGGACTAGAAACTTAAGGACGCCCCAGCGAGACCCCAAAAGCGAGAACAAGGATTCTGCTGCCTTCAGGAAGGAATTCTTTTTGTGTCCTCTATTCAGCTTCTTATCATGTGTTTTCTGTTTTGTTTTGTTTTGTTTTTTTGCAAAAACGAGGCTTGGACTGTTTTTCATAAGTCACCCAGGCAGCTGCATTAGACCCTGGCTTATTTTTTTATTTATTTAGCTTTTTATCAGAACACAGTTAGCTGGCTCTCCTTGACGTGCCGGTTGGAGGTGGCCAGCTGTGCCTGTTGCTGCTGCCAAGATTCAAGGTGATGGATGTCGTTAGCCTTGAGTGAAACCAGTTCCCAGGCCCTCCAGAAAGAGGCTGCCGCACCTTCTCTGGAGCACAGAGATAAGGCATAAAAATGCTTTGTATTTCCTAGGAAATTCAATTAAAAAGAAAAAAAGGGCAAAAAGAAAAAAAGTTCTCGTAAGCACATACTAACCTTTCGTGAGACTCAAGAAAAGCCACAAACCACCTCCTGTGCCCACTTCTTCCATTTAGAAGGGAGAACCCCAGTGAGCCAAATACTCTGCCTTGCCAAGTTTCTAGTCCTTAATGAGCATTTGAATTCTCCCAAGGCCTGCAAGAGCAGTTAAGGCGGGCCGGAAGGATTGAATTCGGGGTTTTTTTTAATGTATTTTTGCTTCATCCCTTCTTCAAGATAATTCCAGAGGCCCCAAATCAAATGTGTGTGGTTGCAAGGGGGGTGGGGGGGGAACCATTTTGGCTCTCTCTGATGTTAAGAGGATTAAAAATGTGTAGGATTGCTGTTTTAATTTTAATCTAGGTCAGCGTTTCTGCTCTTGGTCCCCCTTCCCAATTTTAAAAGTCATGGAGGACCCCAAACAGAGCTTTCATTGGCATAGGTTTTATATTTACAGCATTAAAAATTAAAATGAACCCATTCGTAGAAAATTTATTTATTGAATCCGCTAAAAACGACAATATGAAACTCATTTGGTGTTAGCATCAATAAAATATTTCTCGTGGAAAAAACCCTATTTTTTTTTTAAAAAAAAACACACCAATGAGAAGGCTGATAATATTTTATATTTTTGCAATATTTTCAATATCCAGCAAATCATTTTGATTTTGCCCCCCTTCCCCCCGCCCCAAGGGAGTTTTGGGAGATGTTCAGGGGTCCTTGAACCATATTCTACTGAGTTCATAAATGGCATTTAGGAGAAAACAGAATGTATAGTTGGTCCTCTACTTACAATCACAATTGAGCCCAAAATTTCCATTGCTAAACAAGACAGTTGTTAAGTGAGTTTTGCCCCATTTTATGACCTTTCTGGACACAGTTGTTAAGTGAATCACTGCAGTTGTTAAATTAGCAACATGGTTGTTAAGTGAATCTGATTTCCCCGTTGGCTTGTAAGAAGGTCCCAAAAGGTGATCATATGACCCCAGGACACTGCAACCGTCATAAATATGAGTCAATTGCCAAATGTTTGAATTTTGATCACGTGACTCTTGGATGCTAGTTTTAAGTGAAAAATTTCATAAATTACTTTTTTCCAGTGATGTCATAATTTTGAATGGTCACTAAGCAAATAGTTGTAAGTTGAGGACTACCTGTACAAGGGATACATTCAGGCTTTCCAACTACAAAACCAGAATTTTCTTGGCATAAGATTTTGGAATTAACAGTATTTCTCCATATGATCTATGACCATGAAGGTAATCCTTAAGTTACGACTGTAATGGGCCTGCCCACCGCAGTCCTAACTCGTGGCAGTAAAACAAATCGATCATGTTATTTTATGATTTCACAACCTCTTCTGTGATGTCATTAAGCGAAGCACTGCTGTCATGAAATGAATGTCACAGTCATGAAATGAACTAACGATTCACTCTGCAAATGGCTGTAAATTCAGTCTGGTTGCCGGGCGCCTGAATGGTCACTAAGTGAGTAGACACAAGTCAAGGACTACTGGTACATATTTTGATCATCTGTTGCTGGTGATTTTTTTATAAATGTGTAGATTGTGCAAGGAACGATTTAATGAAAAGCAGGGAAAATATTATTTCCAGTAAATGAATGGACGCAACAGAGGTTTTGGGTGGAGAAAAGTTTTTTAATGCCTTGAATTCTTTTTTGGTTTGCTTTGAATGACAGAGACGGCTCATGATCAAACCAAATTCATCCTGGTTGTGTCTAAAATCATGGTTTGCTCTTAACTTGGTTTGAAGGCTTGCAGCCCGATCTGTAGTTACATCTTAATTCTGTTTCCCAAATACAATTTGGGAGAAAGGAATTGCCTTCTCTTAAGCCAAAACTTGGCTTGTGGGTGGGGCCAAGGTGAAAGTGGGCGGGGCCAAGGGCAGGTGCAACCAAAATTAATATGCACGTATTATATACAGGTAATCTTTGATTTACGACCACAATCGAGCCCAAAATTTCTGTTGGTAAACAAGACGCTTGTTAAGTGAATTTTGCCCCGTTTTATGACCATTCTTGCCACAGTTGTTAAGTGAACCGCTGCAGTTGTTAAGTTAGTAACGTGGCTTTTAAATGAATCTGACTTTGCTTGTCAGAAGATCATAAAAGATTATCACTGGTCAACCATCATAAATACATGCCAGTTGCTAAGCGTACCAATTTTTATCACATGAAAACGGGGGTGCTAGTCGTAAGTGTGAGAAACGGTCATAAGTCCCTTTTTTCAGTGAAGTTGTAACTTTGAATAGTCACTAAATGAACTGTTGTAAGTGGAGGACTAACTGCAAACTTTTTCTTGGTTCACCCATTTTCTTCCCTCTTAAATCTTGTTCCTCCTTTTCCCACTTCCATATCCTCTCTTACCCCAACGCTGTTTATGATAAAACTATAATAATAATAATAATAATAATTTGCTGGCTTTGATTTAAATCCCGTGCCAGGAAGGAATTTTAATTGTGGGTGTGGCAAAATTGCAGGCGCGTGGAAAGGGCAGAGAAATTGTATTGTGCTGTTACTCTTCTAAAATCCAAAAGGTTTTTTTGTTTTGTTTTGTTTCCTGTTGCTGAGAATCTCAGAATCGTTGAGTAGGAAGGGGTCTCCAAGGATCATCTAGTCCAGCCCTTTGCAGTGGGCAGGAAAACCAATTAGTGTGATAGAATTGTGGAGTGGGAAGGGGCCCCTAAAGGTTGTCTATTCCACCCCTTTGCCAATGGGCAGGAAAATCAGGAAGTTTCAAGAATTGTGAAGGGGCTTCCAAGAGTCATCTAGTGAGCAAGAAAGCTAGTTAGTTGTCAGAATTGGGAACTGGGACAGGACCACCAAGGGTCATCTAATTTTTGCAATCATAGAATCTTAAAATCCTCCAGAGACAGAGAAAATCCACAACTGTGTCTGTTTCTAAATCTTGTCACACATCGGCCATTGCTTGCCTTAGAGAAGCTACATCCGGCCATGATCATAATATGGAGTACCTCTCTCTTTGTAAAACCAGGAGATGAGTTCAAATCCTGTACGAACAAACTCCAGGAATTAGGAGACAGGAAGCAAGCCTAGATTTCATCTAACAAGCAGATATTCTAATTTTCTCTCTTTTTTTTTTCCCTTCCAGTATTACGAGATGTCCTATGGCCTCAACATCGAAATGCATAAGCAGGTGAGATTTTTAAGTTTATTCTTCTTTCTGCGAGGGACTTTTAAGGCCGCCTTGCACAGGTAGCCCTCGACTTACAACCACAATTGAGCCCCAAATCTCTGTGGCCAAGTGAAACATTCGTTAAGCGAGTTTGCCCCCATTTTACGACCTTTCTTGCCACCGTTGTTAAGTGAATCACTGCAGTTGTTAAAACTAGTCAAACTGCGGCTAAGTGAATCTTAACTCCCCCATTGACTTTGCTGGTCAGACGGTCGCAAAAGGGGATCACGTGGCCCCAGGACACTGCAGTTGTCATAAAATATGAATCCATTGCCAAATGTCTGTGAGTTTTGACCGCGTGACCATGAAGATGTGGTCGTTAAGTGTGAAAAATGGTCATCAGTCATTTTTTTTCAGTTGTAACTCGGAACGGTCACTAAACAAACTGTTGTAAGTCGAGGACTACCTGTACATGCAGCTGAAGCAAGAGTGGGTTTTTCTTACCTTATCTCCTCCCTTGAAGGAGCATTTTAGGTCATCGGCTACGTGCTGTTTTAGATTATATTCAGGGCCGCCGCCCCACCCCTTCAAACAAGCAGAGCCCTTACAAACAACCGGGTGTGTCCACCAGACACTAGCTAAATATAATTGAAATTTCATTTAAATGACATTTAAATTAAATTGCAGCTAATCCGATTTGTTCCTCCTGCGTGTCATCATCTACCTGCTCTGATTTCCTTTTGCAAGGATCTGCAGACCGCACCTGGCCTTTCCAAGATGCCGCGCTAAGGCAAACAAATTTAATTAAAAGCGGGGTTTATTAGCTACACCCAGCTCGTTTCTTTATTCGTGTCTTAATATTATTATTTTTTAATTGAAATGCAATTTTAGGCTACTGTGCCACTCAGGAATGAATAACTATGGCTCAGTGGTGAAATCCAATTTTTTTTTACTAACGGTTCTGTGGGCGTGGCTTGGTGGGCGTGGTGTGGCTTGGTGGGCATGGCTTGCGCATGGCAGGGGAAGGATACTGCAAAATCTCCATTCCCACCCCACTCTGGGGCCAGCCAGAGGTGGTATTTGCCGGTTCTCTGAACTACTCAAAATTTCCGCTACAGGTTCTCCAGAACCTGCTGGATTTCACCCCGGTTATGGCTCCTTTAAGACCTCTGGACTTCAACTCCCAGAATTCCTGAGTCAGCCACGCTGGTTCAGGAATTCTGGGAGTTGAAGTCTACATAATACTGGCTCAGGAATTCTGGGAGTTAATGTTCATCAGTTATAAAACAACTATGGTTACCCACAACTGGTATAGCCCAGTAAACCTCTGCCAGTTCTTTTAACGCCTGTTGTTAAACCACGAAGCTGACAGCATTTTTTTTTTATTTTTTTTTTTGAGAAATTACCCTGAGGTTGAATTCTGTGAAATTACAATTACAATTCCCATGTCCTTTTCTTAGGAGAACCAGAATCCCCCAAAGACTCGTTTCCCCTTTTCAATGGGGACATTGGGAAATTTCACTCAATCACTACCTGCATCAGTGTTTTTCAAAATGGTGCCTTCAACTCCCAGAATTCCCCAACCAGTGTGCTTTAAGATGGGTGGACTTTAACTCCCAGAATTCCCAAGCCAGCAAGCTCTAAGATGGTGGACTTCAACTCCCAGAATTCCCTGGCCAAAATGGCTGACTGTGTAATTCTGTGGAAGTAAGTCCATCCATCTTAAAGTCACCAATTTGAGAATGGCTACATAACTCCCATCTTTACTTTGGGCATTGTTTTTGCTCATTTTTACCTCAAATTGTTTTCGTTCTGTTAAAACCGGCATGGCCCACACACAGCACACGGACCTGCGTGCATTCGCACAATCCAGCCTCCACGAAATCGGTTGAGAGTTCAAAGTGTTGTGTGAAACCAGAAACCCGATGAATTCCCTGGGATGCGTCTTGGAACATGTTTGTACTGAGGCAGAAACGTTTGCCCATCGTTCAGGAAGGTCCGCTAAAAAGGGAGCGTGTGTCACCTTCGCACCGTGCAAAAGACGCAACCGATGCGCATTTTGTCATTTGCAGCCTGTCCGACAAACACCGTTAACAATGTCCCTTGCAAAATGCTGCAGTGATGTAATTGGGTTTGGAGTTTGGGTTGTTGCTGCCACATATAAAGGCACTAGCACATCATGTTTTTGTCGCTTTGTGCCAAGCAGCTGATTGAAGTACCCTCCTCCGGGTTAACCTTGTGTATAATCTTCCATTTCAGGCTGAAATTGTCAAGCGGCTGAATGGCATTTGCGCCCAGGTTTTGCCATATCTGTCGCAAGAGGTAAATTCCCCCTTTCTTTCCTCTGGAACTTTTATTTTTTATTCTTGATTTTTATTTATTTATATCCCGCCTTTATTGTTTTTACAAATAACTCAAGGCAGCAAAAATATCCAACATCTCTTTCTCTTCTGGTTTTCCCCACAACAAGAATCATGACTAGCCCAAGGTCACTCTGGCTTTCATGCGTAAGGTGAGACTAGAATTCACAGTCTCCTAATGATCGGCCCAGAATCACCCAGTTGGCTTTCATGCCTAAGGCAGAACTAGAATTCACTGTCTCCTACTGAATGGCCCAAAGTCACCCAGCCAGTTTTAATGCTAAGGCAGAACTAGAACTCACAGCCTCCCAATGATTGGCCTAAAGTCGCCAAGCAGCTTTCATGCCTAAGGCGGGACTAGAACTCACAATCTCCTAATGATTGACTCAAAGCCACCCACCCAGCTTTCATGTGTAAAAATAACCCAGCTGGCTTTCATGCCTAAAGTAGGACTAGAACTCACTATTTCCTGTTGGACAGTCCAAAATCACCCAACTGGTTTTCATGCTTAAGGCAAAACTAGAACTCACTATCACCTGGTGGACAGTACAAAATAATCCAGCCAGTTTTCATGCCTAAGGCGGAACTAAAACTCACTGTCACAGGGTGGACAGTCCAAAATCACCCAGCTGTCTTTCATGCCTAAGGAGAAACTAGAACTCACGGTCTCCTGATGATTGGCTTAGCATCACCCAGCCAGCTTTCATGCTTAAGGCAGAATTCACCCTAATTTGGCTATCTCTGCTTGCCTTAATTAAGGGACTTGTTTGCCCCATTATCTGAATCTTCATCCTTTCAAATCTCCCCCTGCCCTGCTTCAGGTAAGGAGCGTAGGGTTACTTGGAAAGTTCTCAGATTATAACAGCAGATATTTGGGGAGGGGGGTGGTGGTGGTTCCAGGCAGCCCATGGTCCCTCTTGAGGACAGAGTTATGGCGTTTCCTGGGACCTTCTGATGGAGGTGAGCAAGGAAGAATTGGCAGAATAATAACTATACAAAGCCAAGATAGGAACAATAGTTGTAGGTAACTTGGGAACAATTCCCGAAACGAGCAGCATTTGAACATCACCGGCATTGACAAAATCCCCACCAGTCAATTGCAAAAAGGCAGCTTTGCTTGGAACAGCTGACATCTTGCGATACCTTCAGCACCATCCAACATTCCCCATCTGCCTATCCCAAGTCCTTGGCAAGGACTCCAGAGGTGGACCAAAAATGCCAGATTTTTGGATAACATCTTTGTCAGGGTGGCAATTAATCCCATTCTCCTTTTGGGTAATTGCACCTTGATTTAGAGAAGTGGATCGTGACTTTTCCTTGAAGTATACATTAAGAAAAATAAAAGCGAAGATACGTTTTCTAAGAAAAACTCATTTATTTGTTATAAAGAAAATAAAACATCTCACTAGCCTAATTAGTTACATCTTGGCAAAGCTTTTGGCAGGAGAAAAAAGAAAGTTAGAAGTGAAGGAATGTAGACATGCGCAGTTAGCTTACTGATAAGAACTTGGCAAGCTATGGTAAGTCTGAAAGTTCAAAAATAAGAGCTCATCTGGTAAATACAAAAACGCAGTGACAATCTTAATAATGGAAATGCCATTTTTTTAGCAGAAAATGGCTCATAAAACCACACTGCCTTTTTTTCCCCTCTTGTCGTTGATCCTCCTGCTGATTGGTTCATATCATCTTCTAATTGTCTTCTCTTTCTCCTCCTTTCCCCCCCTCCCGTGTTGTCGTCCCCCACCCCAGCACCAACAGCAGGTCCTGGGAGCCATTGAGCGTGCCAAACAAGTGACAGCCCCTGAACTGAATTCCATCATCCGGGTCTGTGATGCTCTTTTTGTTAGAATTGATGGGAGGGATGGGGTCTTGGGGATATCACATGGGGTGGGCTTCAAAAATTTTAGCAATGGGTTCTCTGGGTGGGCGTGGCCATGATGGGCGTGGCCTAGTCGGCCTCTTGCACCCCAGCGGGGGGGGCATTTTTGCCCTCCCCAGGCTCTGGAGGCTTTCCTCGAGCCTCCGGAAGAGCGAAAATGGCCTCCCCAGACTCTGGAGGCCAGAAACGGGCCCTTCCTGAACTTCTGGTAGGCCCATTTTTCACCCTCCCTGAGCCTCCACGCATGCCCTGCACCTTACTGCATGCAAAACGGGCCATGTGGGGACTCCTGGGAGGAGTGGGCAGGGCCACCCAGGAGTGGGATCTGGAGTTTCTCCCGAACCCCTATGAACCCCCAGCAGCCCACCCCTGGATATAACCATTAGGAGCACTCCAGGGGTGGGTTCTACTTATCTTTACTACCGGTTCGCAACGGGAGCATGCATGTGCAGATCGTCCATTATGATGTCCGGGCGGGTGGGCGGAGCCTCCCTTTGTTTTTACTACCGGTTCGCAAGAACCGGGAGCAACCCACCACTGGAGCACTCCCTGTTTTCATACATCATCATGTTTGATGGGCACATGGCTTTGTTAATTTAGAGCAGGGGGGCAACCAAACTTGGCCACTTTAAGACTTGTGGACTTCAACTCCCAGAATTCCCCAGCCAGCATGGCTGGCTGGGGAATTCTGGGAGTTGAAGTCCACAGGTTTTAAAAGTGGCCAAGTTTGGAGATCCCTTATGTACAAGTAGTCCTCGACTTACCACAGTTCACTTAGTGACCGTTCGAAGTTACAACAGCACTGAAAAAAGGGACTTATGTGATCATTTTTCATGCAGCTGTTAACAGCATCCCCATGCTCCCGTGATTTATATTCGGATGCTTGACAACTGACTCATACTTAGGACGGTTGCAATGTCCCAGGGTCATGTGATCTCCATTTCGCAACCTCCTGACAAGCCAAGTCGATGGCGAATCCTGTTGTAAACAAGAAATAATCAAATGGATCTTTGAAGAATTGTTTGCCTCGGAGTCTTACTTGGTTGGGGGTGTTACTTGGAACCCCAACATTGGTGTCGTATCCCCTCCCCGCCCGCCCGCTGCCGCCGCCCCCCCCCGGACAAGAGAGGGCTGTTCAATTTTGACATAGATGGCCTCTTTTGACTCCTCTTTCAAACCGGACAAAGTCCATATTGTGGACAGAGATGACCACTGATTTGAAAGAGGTCAATAGCTCTTTCTCAACATTAGGGGGAGGGATACGACATTTATTTATTATTTTATTTTATTAAATTTCTATACCGCCCTTCTCCTAAAGGACTCAGGGCGGTGAACAGCCACAAGATAAAACACATAAATACAAAAATTTAAAATAGATTAAAAACGAATCAAATAATTTGGCTGAATTTAAAATACCCCATAATTTAAAACAAATTAAAATTTATATTTAAAAGGGGAGAAGATTTAGGCCAGGCCAGCTTGATGAAATAAAAAAGTCTGAAGTGCGCGACGGAAGGTGCGCAGATCCTGCGCCCGTCTCCTGTTTACAACACAGTCCTTTCAGCAGTTCCAAGAAGGTTCCACACACACACCCATTTGCATTATTCAGGTGATCTTGAGGTAAACACAGGTAAACCTCCAAGTGGCCTCAACGGCCCTCAGAAAGCCTGCTAAACAGCCAGGTGACAGCAAAAATCATTAGCCCTTCCAACTTCCACCCCTTAGTCAGAACTGAAGAAGCTTCTTGGACGAGAAGCGAAACGTCTTCAAGGAAAAAACAAATTCCAGTTGTGCCTTTTGAAAAAAGCACCTGTCAAGGTTCCCAACCAATCCAGCAACTCTTGGAAACTTTTGGCTGTTTTCAAATATTGCTTAGCGCATTGTAAGCCGCCCTGAGTCTCCGGAGAAGGGCGGCATATAAATCAAATTAAAAAAAAAAAAAACTGCTTTGTTGAGTACATCCTTTTCGGCACGTTTGAAAATGCAAAGCAGCTCTGGCTGTTTCCCGCACTTTTTCAGTATAATTAAAGATTAGACAGCTCCCTCCCTCCTCGTCACGGGTCACGTTGTCCAGTTAGATGTTCTTGGCGTCTCTTTGGTAACCTCTTGCATATCTCTGGCCAGCACCTGGTAGGATGACCTTGGTTCCCACGAGATAATAAGTTGTTGATGTCTGGTCTGGCATTCCAAAGCTCCCTTCCCCCACCCTCCCAAAAGTGTGAAAAAGTTGAAAAAACAGAGAAAAATGGCTGTGACAGGCCCAATCAGTTTCAAAGTTGACAGCAACTTTGGGAAAAACCATGAGAGTCTCCATAGACTTTTAAGATGTGTGGACTTCAATTCCTAGAATTCTTCAGCACTTCTGGGAAAATTGAAGTCCATACATCTTTTAAAGCAGGGATCTCCAACCTTGGCCAAATTAAGACCTGTGGACTTCAACTCCCAGAATTCCTCAGCTAGCAACGCTGGCTGAGGAATTCTGGGAGTTGAAGTCCACAGGTCTTAACTTGGCCAAGGTTGGAGACCTCTGTTTTAAAGGACTCAAGATTGAGAAGTACTGAGAGTATCTTGCTTAGGTTCTGTTTCCCTCTGAATCAAGAGTGCTTTCCTGCGTGGATTGGCCTACTTTACAGGGCACTTGTGAGGATAATGGCAAAGAATAAGGAATGCTGTTGGATTTCTCCTTGGAGGAAAAAGACAGTTTTATATTCAGCAGTGCCTATTTAAAAACTTGAGACCAAAACGGGACAGTTTTGGGTGGGAAACTCCAAATTTAACTTAATTGATGTGTCCAGCCAACAGGTATGTTATTTTCCTGAGCAAGAACGACATCTGAGCATACAAACTTAATAATTGTATATTATATAATTATATGTTATATAATATTGAGCAGCGTGGTGACCTAGAGGTGAAGACACTCAACCTTGCACTCAGAAGGTTGGGAGTTCAATCCTAGGCAGCTGGTGGATGTTTCTCTATTGGGGCGCAAGAGGTTGTAGAAAAAATGTTTTAAAAGTTAAAAAAAAATGGTCAGGCCCACCCAGTCACATTACCCCCCACACAGCCACGCCCACAGAACCAGTAGTAACAAATTTTAGATTTCACCACTGAATTACAGCCTACAATGGCTGCCTCTGCCATAGTCAAATTGCCCACATTTCAAACGCTCCGGAAACTTGGCCCTGTGTCCTGCCGTTTTTGCTGAAAATCAGTGTCAGTTTTTAACAAAAATGTCCCCTTAGTGAACAATGAGTTTGCTTAAGGACCACAGTGATCGCTTAATGACTGTAACACAAAAATCGTTGTAAAATTGGTGCAAGTCTAACCCTTTACAAGCCTCGTGACCTGTGACCCGCTCCTCCCATTTTTTCAGTTAGAGCAGTCGCTAAGCGGACGGTCGTAAATTGAGGATCACTTGTACCTGCGTTTTACAGGTAGTCCTTGACTTAGGACCACAAGTGAGCCCAACATTTCTGTTGCTAAGCGAGACATTGGTGAAGCGAATGTTGTCCCATTCTACCACCTTTCTTGCCACGGTTGTTAAGCGAATCGCTGTAGCTGTTAAGTTAGTAACACGGTTGTTAAGTGAATCGGATTTTCCCATTGACTTCGCTTGTCAGAAAGTCACAAAAGTGAACCCCGGGACGCTGCAACCGTCATAAACACGAAGCAGTTGCCAAGCCTCCAAATTTTGATCATGTGTCCATGGGAAAATAGAGTCACTTTTTTTCAATGCTTTTGTAACTTTGAATGGTCACTAAATGAACTGTTGTAAGTCGAGGACTACCTGTAAGTGCTTTTAAGATGTGTGGACTTGGAATTCCCAGAATTGGTGGTGCTGCAATGGTCATAAGTATGAAGAACAGTTGTTAAGTCACCCTTTTTATGAGCCGTGGTGGCGCAGTGGTTAGAGTGCAGTACTGCAGGCTACTTCTGCTGCCTGCCTGCAATTTGGCAGATCAAATCTCACCAGGCTCAGGGTTGACTCAGCCTTCCATCTTTCTGAGGTCGGTAAAATGAGCACCCAGATTGTTGGAGGCAAGAGGCTGACTCTGTAAACAGCTTAGAGAGGACTGTAAAAAGCACTGTAAGTGCTAAGTAGGAAAGAAGGAAGGACCATGATGGCACAGTGGTGAGAATGCAGTATTTCAGTGTGACTCTGCCCACTGCCATCAGTTCGATCCTGACCGGCTCAGGGTTGACTCAGCCTTCCATCCTTCCAAGGTCAGTAAAATGAGGACCCAGATCGTTGGGGGCAAGAGGCTGACTGTAAACCGCTTAAGAGAGGGATGTGAAGCAGTATATAAGTCTAAGTTCCTATTGCTATTTTCAGTGCCGTTGTAACTGAACGGTCACTAAACGAACAGTCGTAAGGAGAGGACTACCTGTAGCAAGGATCGGAAGAACGTGAAACTGTCTCATTTTTATTTCTCGTCTGTTTTTCTCTCCCGGGTCTCCCCTATAGCAGCAACTCCAAGCCCACCAGCTCTCTCAGCTTCAGGCACTGGCCTTGCCCCTCACCCCGCTCTCCGTGGGCTTGCAGGCCCCCTCCCTGCCCGCCGTGAGCGCCAGCACCGGCCTGCTCTCCCTCTCGGCGCTGGGCTCCCAGGCCCACCTCTGCAAGGAAGACAAGAACGGCCACGACGGAGACGCCCACCAAGAAGACGATGGGGAAAAATCCGACTAGGTGGATCTCATCCAGTCAGGGGGGAGGGGCGGTGGGCAGCGTGGGGCGATACTTGGTGTTGGGGGGGGGGGGGGGCAGAAGACGCCGCATTTAATCCAATTCCGGGGCTGGCGGGTAAACCACAGTTCTTCAGTGGGGCACGAGGGGCGAGATAAAATTGCAGCAATAACACTTTAGCTCCCTCCTTTTCCTGCCCCTCTTCCATTCCAGCCCCATAGCAGGCAGGAACGGTTCCCCAAGCAATTGAGGGGCCTTTGCGTACATGTTGAGGGGTCAGGTGGGGAAGGGGGTTGGACCTCCCCCCTTTCTATCTCCCCTTCCCCCCTTTAAATTAATTCCAAAGGGTTAAGCCAGCATCAGAATATCCACGATGCTTTCTTAAACTTGGTTACTCCTCCACATCCATCCATCCTTTCCCAGGTGTTTTCGCAAGGACTTGCTTGGGCCGTTGGACAAGAAACTAACAAACTGGGTTAGTTATCCAAGGGGAAGGAAGGATGTGGGTTTGCCCGATCCTAGATTTGTGGGGAAACCAGAGATCCTGGGAAAATCCCCTCCCCCCAAAATCACCCAGCTGGAAGATTTTCAGCCACAGGCCAGTCACTGGCACCCTCCCAGCCTGTATATCTCAACCTCGGCCACTTTAAGATTGGACTTCAACTCCCAGAATCCCTCAGCCTCACTTTACTAAATCATGACCTAGGTCAGGGGTGGGCAACTGTGGCCCTTTTACCACCTGTGGACTTCAACTCCCAGAATTCCTGATACAGCCAAGCTGGCTCAGGAATTCTGGGAGTTGAAGTCCACAGGTGGTAAAAGGACCACAGTTGCCCACCCCTGACCTAGGTGGATAGTGTGGTTTTGTACAGGTTGTCCTCGACCAATGGACCCAATTTCCCTTTGCTAAGCAAGGCGGTGTGAAGTGACTCGCACCCGATTGGATGAGCTTTTTTTTTTTTCTTTGCCCCGCAGCTGCTAAGCCAATCACCGCTGGAGGGGTGGGGGAATGCTGGGAGTTGAAGTCCGCACATCTTAAAATGGCCACCGTTGAAAAACAGAGAAAAAGAAAACCCATCATTCTGACATTCCCTATCTGATTTGAGCTCCCTGGCACGGCGGTACCTCAGTTTTGTGCTCATGGAGGGCTGCCCTCTCCCAGTGGGCAAGGCCAGACCCCGTTGGGAGAGGGCACGCCGACAGGGTGAGAGACAAAATGGGTTGGCAAACTTTCTGAAACCCACCAACCTCTTAAAAATGCCCCCAAATGGAGAGAAATGGCTGAAATGCAAAGAACAAAAGTCCCCCACCTGAGGAGATGCTGGCATGTTGACCCCAGGCTCCCCCCTCCCCAATTTCTGTTCCCCAATCATCAGGTAGTCCTCGAATTACAACAGTTCATTTAGCGACCGTTTGAAGTTAACAACAGCACTGAAAAAAGCGACGATTTTTCACACTTTACCACTGTTGCAGCATTCCCCCACGGTCACGTGATCAAAATTCTGACACTTGACAACTGATTCATATTTATGACTGTTGCAGTGTCCCAGGATCAGCTTTTGTGACCTTCTGGCAAGCAAAAGTCAATGGGGAAGCCAGATTCACTTCACCACCATATGAATAACTTAACAACTGCAACAATTCGCTTAACATCTGTGGCTAGAAAGGTCGTAAAAATGGGGCAAACCTCATGTAACAAATGTCTGACTTAACAACAGAAATTTTGGGCTCCATTGCAGTCGTAAGTCGAGGACTACCTGTCTTCTAGCGGAGGTCCCAGCTCACTCTCCCAACCAACAGCACAATTTCCCCGTATGGATTACACCCGCCCCCACCTCTCCGTAATCCCCCTCCCTTCCAAAAAAATTCCTAGATCCAGCAAACTCGCCCTTACTTGCAAGTCGTCAGCAGCTGCGTTCAGCCAGGAAACTCATTACAGCTACTCCTCAACTTACCACTGTTCATTTAGTGACCAAAGTGGCAACGGCATGACTTAACCAGCCCTCCCACTCATACGGCCATCGCAGCCATCCCTGTGGTCACGCGATCAGAATCGCCGGACGCTGTGGCACCTGGCGTGTATTTATGAAGTTTGCAGCGTCCCTGGGATCATGCGATCCCCATTCGCGACCTTCCCAGCTGGTTTCCAAGAAGCAAAGCCAATAAGGAAAGCTGGATTTGCTTTAACAACCGTACAATTCACTTAACTAACCCTGCGGTGATTTGCTTAACAACCACGGCAAACGGGTAATAACATAGGGTGTGACTTCCTTAACTGCTGTCGTGCTTAGCTGTGGAAATTCTGTTCTCAATTGTGGCCATAAGTCGAGGACTACCTGCGCTCAAAGCAAATAGGAATAAACCTCTTCAAGACTGTCCCGCACTGCAGGGTTGTCTGTTTGATTTTGGGCGGTCATATAAGCAGCTAGATAAGAATGGATAATGCGTCCCACCGATGATTTCCTTGAAAAGCAAGCCAGATTGACTCCTTGGGGGGGTTGCAAGGGTTCTGGCTGGGGCCGACCCTGTCAGACTACCTCCGCATTGGATAATTTGCAAACCGCCAGATCCCACTGGACTCCACGTCGGTAGTTTTAATTTGCTTTTTTTTTTTTCCCCCTCCTTGGCGGCACTTAGCTCACATCTGCCGATGGGGGCTCCTTCTCTGCAGAACTTTGTTTTAAATTGATCCATATCGCCACTGACCCCTCCCCCAACACTCACAAGCAGTATCTGGGCTTTGCGAAGCCCCCCCCTTCCTCCCCAACCCCACGCCCCGCTCGACTCCTCTCTCGCTGGCCCTCCCTCTGCTCCCACCAGCACTGTTTTAGCTAAGCAAGCACCTTTGTCATTATGCATGTCTCGTTTTTAAGGTAGCACAGAAGCAAAAATTTTATATATATACATATATATATAAATATATATAAATATATAAATATATTAGTTGGGTAATCTCTGCCTCTGGGTGAACCTCTCAATGGTGTGTTGTTTTTTTAACCTGCCTTGCTGTTTCCTTTCCCTAACCTTTTTTTTTCCGGGTTTAAAAAAAAGCTGGAATTTGGAAATTTTATCTTGAAACGATGGCTCAACTTCCTTTTTTCAGCCGGATGGTTTGAAATTCAGGGGGTTGAGGGGTGGTGGGTGTGGAAAAGGATGTGAAGGGGAAGGGGGGGCTCCTGGACGCCCCTTCCCATTTCTTAAAACAAAAACATCCCAAGGATCCTGCAGCTGTTCTATCTTTCCGTAATGCTAGTTCTCGACTTTTTTTCCCCCCCTCTCAATTCCCCAAATAAATTTTACGACAAAGAGAATTTTTTCGTGTTTGTATATATTCCTTTAGAGACAGAGAAGAGAGAGAAAAATCTTGTTGGCTCCGTGTGTTTATTAATCACTTGACCCTATATTAAGAGGAACTGAGACAAAAATTCTGTATTGAAAATGTAATAGCTGTGCCTTTTCAAATAAAGAAATCAGATTGTTGGTTAAACTGCGACCGCTTCATTACTGCCTTTGTAGATTCCTTAATTTCCTTCGGTTTTTGTTTTGGCCAGCACGCAAACCCTCTGCGGCTGAAAATAAAAATGATTGTTGAAATATATCGGTTTAAAAGTCTCCGGTGAAAACGTTGCATAGAGATAAGAGTGTTTGGAATCCTCTATGACTGTTAACACCATTAGAGGGCACTGTGGCTTTATCAAGTGTTCTGCATTGAGTGCCTCTGTTGGCAGGGCGTGGTACTGCAGTCAGATCAATGGTCAGGTGACCTAAAAGAGCCAATGGGGATTGATCTTTGCTTTATAGAACCAAGTTTGTTTCCCAACTTTTGAACCCCCTCCCACAATAAGCCCTAGTTAAGACCCCGCTCACTATGGGGTGGGGCGAGGCGCATGGTTAAAAATTAAGGTAGGGTGGGAATGGGTGGTGGTGGAGCTGCCTCGTACACCCCAACACCTGCCTTGCAGGGCCACTTCAATCCAGAGTTCTGCTATCGGCAGCAGAGGGCTTTCCAGAAGGCCTCTGATGGCAAAATGGAAGCCAGGGGGCGCCGTGCACCTCAATCCAGAGCCCGTTTCTCAGCTGCAGAGGCCTTTCCGGAAGGCCTCTGATGGCGATATAGAAGTCGGGGGCAACGTGCGTGAGCGGCGGCAAGTGGGCTCCTGCTGGGTGGGGCTGTTGGCGAGGTGAGACTGTAATCAGACACCCTCAAAAATAAGACCTAGTGCCTTTTTTGGTGGCAAAAAAAATATATAAGACTGTTCTGCCCCAGCTATGGATCCCAAAGAACAGCGCACACAAAGTTTGTACAAAACTTAATTTACTAAAATAACTCAGTCTTTTTCAAAACAACGGCTGTTAATAAACTTTCTTAACAGCCTACAAGAAACCAAAGATAAAGTAATCACAATCTTACAAAGGTTGGCAGAAACCCGAGAAGTAATGTGCAGAGAATCCAGATGCAAAGTAGAGTGAACTAAAGTTGTTCCCTACAACTTGCTTCAGTCGGCGTTCCTCCTTAAATAAGCTAAGGGAGTGGCCAATTAGCCCCAAGCCTTACTCTCGAGGAGACCTCCTCCTGAGAAGCCACTCCTGCCTTTTGGCAGCTCTGCGCGCCTGTGCATCGAGAAGAGGCTCCTCCTCTTCATCCTCTTCACTTAAAGGAGCTTCTGGAGGTTCTGAAGGCCCTGGCTGAATCCCTGCCTCTGGCACCACATCTTCTCCAGCCTCCTCATTTTCTGACTTGGGTGCCAGCTGCACAGGCTGCTGGCGCAACACCACACCAGCCTCCTCGCTGTCAGAATCAGCTACAATCCGCACAGGCCACTGACGCGCCACAGCAAAGACCTGTGTCAAGTTTCGAGGTCGTCTCAAATAAATTGCATTTCAAACAAAGTCTTTGAAGAAAAACTATTAAGCACGACATTCTAACCCGACTCCAAATGAAGCCAACACTGACGTCCAGCCCCAAAACCCTCCCTTTTCGTTTCCCACTCCCCTGCACTCATTGGCCATCTTCCAAGTCATTCTACCCCTAATCTACTCCAGCTCAAAGGAATTTCCCCCCTCCCATCCCATCTCCTAGGGGATATTATCTCCAGAGAAAATAAGTAGGTGAAAAGTCAAACGTCCCTTTCCAGACGCCTTCGCTTCTCCTCCTTAATGTCAGCACTAGAGTAAATGCAGGTTGAAGTGCTGACATCCGGCCCCTCCCACTTCATTTTTCCAGGTTGGCCTGTGTAAGACAAACAACAAGTTAAGTACCGTTACCCCGTCCGGGGGTTTGTGTCCTGCCCCCTCCCGCCTTGCCCTGGTGATCTGCATGGAACTTGGCTATAAGGCGGTCAGCTTGGATGTTTCTGCTTTTCACCCAGGAAACCTCTGACAAGGGGTAACCCTTCCACTTGATTAAGTATTGGAGGTGACCCCTGTGCCACCTCGAATCGAGAATTCGTTGTACCTCATAGTGAGTGTGGCCCCCAATGACCGGGGCCCCGGGGGGGTGTCACGTGGCACCGGCCTTAAAGTTGACCCCGCCACAGGTTTCAGGAGGCTACTGTGGAAAATGGGGTGTATCCTCCCTAGGAGTCAGGGCAGCTGCAGTTGTACTGTAACCGGGTTGATTACTTTTACTATAGGGAATGGTCCTATAAATTTTGGTCCCAGTTTCCTGCTCGGGAGTCTGAGTCTCTAATACTTGGTGAAGAGGTAGATCTTCTCTCCCACTCGGAATGGTCTTTGGGGAGTTCGGTGCTTATCTACTTGTTTCTTATAGGATTGTGTCACCTTGGCTAATGCCTTCTTGATGTTCTCCCAAGTTTCTTTCAACATTTCCATCCAATCGGTCAAACTGACTGAGGAAGGGGGCTCCCTTGGGTACTCTGGCATGGGGACGAAATCCATATCACTCACTACCTTAAACGGGGTTAGTCCTGTGCTACTGTGGACAGCATTATTATACACGACCTCCGCAAAAGATAGGAGGTCCGCCCAATTAGACTGTTGGTAGTCGATGTAGCACCTCAGGTATTGCTCTATCATGGCATTCAGTCTGTCCGCTCCCCCATTGGTGCTCGGTTGAAATGCTGAGCTAAGGCCTTGGGATGACCCTATGGACCGTAGGAATTCTCTCCAGAATTTTGCTGTGATCTAAACACGGAGTCTGTATTTTTCTGTCTCGTACTATTGGGAGTAAAATGCAAATAGTTATGCAGAGTTCCATGAAAGATCATAATGCATGAAGTACAATTTAGGAATGCAATAAGATTGCAAATAAATAGACTGGGAAATCACTTGGCACTTCCCATTATTTTTATTAATATTAGTGTCAAGTTTCGAGGTCGTCTCAAATAAATTGCATTTCAAACAAAGTCTTTGAAGAAAAACTCCTATTTATTAAGCACGACATTCTAACCCGACTCCAAACGAAGCCAACACTGACGTCCAGCCCCAAAACCCTCCCTTTCCGTTCCCCACTCCCCTGCACTCATTGGCCATCTTCCAAGTCATTCTACCCCTAATCTACTCCAGCTCAAAGGAATTTCCCCCCTCCCATCCCATCTCCTAGGGGATATTATCTCCAGAGAAAATAAGTAGGTGAAAAGTCGAACGTCCCTTTCCAGACAGCTTCGCTTCTCCTTCTTATGTCAGCACTAGAGTAAATGCAGGTTGAAGTGCTGACAACCGGGTCTTATTTTCGGAGAAACACGGTGCATAGAAAGAAGCATGCGGTGGGGTACCCCAAGATTCTGTCTTCGGCCCAGTACTCTTCAATGTCTTCATAAATAATTTAGATGAGAGGACAGGAAAAGAACTCATCAAATGTGCAGACAGGGACAACCAACACCCCAGAAGATAGGCTCACAATCCAGATGGATCTTGACAGACTTGTAGACTGGACTCTTACCCAACAAAACGAAATTCGGCAGTTAGAAAAGTCAGGTTTTACACTCAGGGAAGAATAACCAAAAGCACAGGTACATAATAGGTGGCACCTAGCTCAACAGCAGTAACGGGGAGAGAGAGGTAGTAGTCCTAATGAACCAACGCTTAAATATGAGCCAGCAATGTGCTGCAACCTCAAAAAAAGTTAATGCTATTGTAGGATGGTAGCACCCACCCCTCCTAGGAAAAATATATTTTAGGAAATATTAAAAGGGCAGAATATTTCCCCTAAAAGGGAGGGAGAAACTTAGCCCCCACCTATGTTAATGGGCCATTAAGGCCCGGGCCAGTCTATTCCACTTAACAAAGATCTACCTCCTTCATGTAGTAGGAATTGCCCAAAGCCCCTTCATTACATCATCACCCAGCAAGGCTCAACCAAGCCTGGACACAGACAACCTACAAAGTTACCCCTGCATGACCCCATGGGAGTCTGACAACAATCAGAATATAAGATCAAATTCAAAAGCCCAGAGAGGGCATAAAACCCAGGCATTCTCAGCATCTCATCCTTTTTTTTGCCCAGGACCTCAAACCATGCGGTCCTGTCCACCATTAAACCATCTTTCCAAGCAGTCTCCATATTTCCAGTGCCTTTTTACCCACTTGGAACCGAACCCAGATGGACATTTCTTCCGACACAATCCAAGATTGCGTCAACAAAGGGAGGATACTTCCAGAGTAACCGGAAGTGATAGTATTGGTCTTATGTTGCACTAGTGAGGCCACATTTGGAATATTGTGTCATGTTTTGGTCACTATAATACAAAAAAATAGGCTGAAAATAGCCCTAGAAAGGTGGTTGTAACTTGACGAATACCTATATTCCTTTTTTTAAAGATCACGCTACAGTTTTCATTTGCTGCCAACTCAAAAGAGAATCTTGTTTCTAGCAATCCTGCTTACGAGAGGGTCAAAAGGGACCTAGGGAATACTAATCAATTCAAGAGCTGTTAGTTGCCAACCCCGTAAGATGGAGACTAAAGGCGAAATCTCATTATTCATTAGTTGCGTCCCAGCGTTGCAGTTATTTTAACATTTTCTGCAGCTCCCCCGCACCCAATTTTGTCAGGAATATTCAAATGCTTGCCGGAGTAGACCAACAAAACACAGCCAGGAAATCAATGAATTTAGTTGTACTGGTTAAGGAGCTAACCTAGAAAACGGGAGATTGCGTGTTCAAATTTCGCTTTAGGCTTGAAAGCTGGCTGGATGTCTTTGGGCCAATCACCAGGAGACTGGGAGTTCTAGTCCCACCGTAGGCATGAAAGCTAGTTGGGTGACTTTGGGCAAATCATCAGGAGATTGGGAATTCTAGTCCCACGTTAGGCATGAAAACCAGTTAATGATGGGCCAATCACCAGGCGACGGTGAGTTCTAGCCCCACCTTAGGCATGAAAACCAGTTAATGGCTTTGGGCCAATCACCAGGAGACGGTGAGTTCTAATCCCACCGTAAGCATGAAAACCAGTTAATGACTGGGCAAATTCCTAGGAGACTGGGAATTCTAGTCCCACTTTAGGCATGAAAGCTGGCCTGATATTTATT